ATGACACGACACATGCATTGACATTGATATTTCTATACGATGCAGTGAAAGGGGCCTTTGTCCAATCGGTCTTCACTAGTCCTCCTCTTGTTGCCCAGTCGTCTGCATTCCATAGAGTTGAATAAACTCTCATGGGTTGGCTTTTTGGGTATGGAATGCCAATTGTTTCCCAATTTCTGAACACCCTTATGGGAATGTTATCTACCAAAAACCTGAAAAAGAACAAAGCTTTTGTTACGGAACGGGAAACCAAGTTTTATAGAACTTCACATTTAAGACTTGAACTAACACTTACTTGATGCTTTCAGGACTCCAGTCGATGGAGTATGTGTGAAACGTCTTTGTTGGATCAAACCAAAGGTGAAACTGCTGTTCCCTGTTTCCTTTTCCTTGTGTGTACACATTGGTGTGAAGTGTGTATGGATCTCCAGATGAATTGCCTAAGAATTCGAAGTCAATCTCATCGTGTCCTGGGCCTTGAGAAGACAACTGCACGAGAAAAGATTGAGTTAGATAGGTTTACTGGGGGAAATTAAATTTGAGTGCGAGTTCATGTTGAAACTTACATAAAAGGTGGTAACGGTGCCAGCAGAGTTTCCAGGCACCAACTTGATTTGGATGTCAAACCTTCCAAATAGGTACTCCTTCTTGGATTGAAAACCAGACCCTGATCCTTTGTCAAGCGAGAGGGTGAGGTGTCGGCCTCCATCGTATATATTGGCGCGTGGACCACCAAAAGTGATGTCGACCTCTTGGAGAAAGTTTCCAGCAGCTGCGGTCATTACTGAAGCCATGAATAATGAAAGTGCAAGCATTGTTGATGCTTTGTGAGACGAAGACATGCTTTGCTTTGGACAAAATTGAATGGAAACGAATTGTAGAGAGGTCTATGTAAACAGAGACGAAGGGAAGATGGTGAATGGTGATGCTGGAATAGAAGTTGTGAAGCCCTTATATAAGAAAATTCAGCAATCGCTAATTCTACTATAAAAAAAAAGTGCCAGAGCCTTTTGTGCTGGCGAAATTTATTAGCCACAATGGAGTGGGATACGTTTATGATAGATAGATTTGAGAGTCACGGAAGGAGCAGTGGGAACCAGAAAAAGCACTTCTTTATTGCTGAATTGTGAAACTTCCGAGCATTGCATGGTCTTGAAAGTTGAACTTGACGCTGAAATCATAGAGCGTCAATAATCCACTTGCGTTCGTCAGAACGAAGGAAAAAACAAACGGTATAAAGAAATTCCTCCATGCGCGTGACAGAGAGGATTTGTCAACTGGATCTGTGTTAGCTGGCATCTGGCAAGCATTTATGGTTGGCATAAACAGGTAATCAAATGCACCAATACGCGTTTGAAGTTTAAATTTTTACAGCCCGCCTCTCTAATATCACCTTCCTAAGCTGCAGCCTGTGGTAATCGAGACGCTGGAATCTTTTCTTGCAAAGCGACCATCAACCCGGTTTATATTTGGAAGGTATGCCATCTTATGACAACTAAGGAATGATGGTTCTCGATGACGTGGATTAATTAAATTCAATCAAACTATATTTGTTGGACAAATGCTCAATTGTTAATTTCGAAAAATGCCAGTAAGGGCATTGGTTTGGTATTGGCTTTAGTAACTTTGATGAATTATATTTAGTTATTATGACTTAAATTTATTTTCTGTAAACTTTATTATTTACTGGCAACTGTGAGTTGAACTGCAAGTCTAATCCAAGGTGGTTGGTGCCAAATATCCTTGGTTAGTTGATCATATTAGGAGTTTGGAGATAGCAGATGTGGAAAACTAACCACCTTGGCTACTTTTGAAAGACTTATTGACCGGACGAGTGGTCGAAACATTTGAGGTTGCATGAAAAAGACAATTCCATCAAGGATTTATTGTATTTTATTATGATTTAGTTTGTAAAGTTGGATGATTGTATCAATTAGTCAACCTAGATTGTAATCATAAACTTTTAAATTGAAACGTTATGCAATTTTTATCTGAAATTCTATTAACTAAATGATACTATGACATATTTATTAGATAAATATTTGTTGATTCAACAGAATGTACTAGATAATATTTGTTACATTTTGTTAAACTATGTCAGTGCATGTCTGTAATTTGATTTATGACTTTAGTACTACATGATTTATCTCTTTGAATATGCCATATGATTTAATATTTGCTTTTTATCTATTTCATTTTGTTTCATCTATCTGTTTTTTTTTTTATTTATTTAAAAATAAGCTGATCATTAAGAAACCTTTTATTCTATATTCAGTCTATAAATTACAATAAAATATTTCAAAATTAAAACAAATAAAAATATATTTATTCAGAATGACAACAACAAAATTTATATGCAAAAAGAATAAATAATTATATGAAACCAAATCCTCAGGAGCTAACAATAATATTGGAGACACAGAAGCAGTAGTTGGGTTTGGAGCTTGGCGTGCAACATCTCTCACAGGAACCTTGGGCGCTTGCATTCAGCTGGAATGCCGCGAGGAAATCTCTTGAGGTCAGTACAGTAATTGTAAATCATGAACTTGGACTGCACCCATCTCAATCTATTTCTACTCTTCGCATCTAGTCGGCCTCCATCGCTTTGTGCTCCACCTTTCAAAGTATTCGAAAACTTGGAGCCACACGATGATGACCCAGCTGATGCAACACACCCATTGGCATTGAAGTTTCTGTATGATGCTGTGAAGGGTGCCTGTGCCCAATCAGTTTTCACTAGCCCCCCTCTGGTTGCCCAATCGTCTGCGTTCCACAAACTCGAATAAACTCTCATGGGTTGGCGGTTGAGGTAAGAAACACCAATCTTTTCCCAGTTGTGAAATACCCTTATAGGAATGTTATCCACTAGAAAGCTGTAAAGAGAGAGAAGTTTGGTTTAGTAATTTGGAGGAAGCTAAATTGAATATAGGAAGATGGATGGGGAGACCCTCTTACTTGATGCTTTCTGGAGACCAATCAATAGAATAGGTGTGAAATCCTTTGGTGGGATCAAACCAAAGGTGAAATTGTTGTTCCCTGTTTCCTTTCCCCTGAGAGTACACGTTGGTGTGAAGTGTGTATGGATCTCCGGACGAGTTGCCTAAGAATTCCAAGTCAATCTCATCGTGTGATCCTCCTTGCGAAGACAACTGCGGATCAAAAGTTTTTATGACTTTGTTTTTGGGTTTTCCAACTTTTAAATCCACCATCATTCTCTAAATTAGGAAGAAAGTCAAGATTGATTGGAGCTTACATAAAAAGTGGTGACGGTGCCAGCAGAGTTTCCGGGGACGAGCTTCATTTGAACATCGAATCTTCCAAATAGAAACTCCTTCTTGGATTGGAATCCGGAGCCTGAATCTTTGTCGAGAGAGAGCGTGAGATGTCGGCCTCCATCTAGTATCTTGCCACGTGGACCACCCCAAGTGACGTCCACATCCTGGAGAAAGTTGCCGGCGGTGACGGCCATTACAGAAGCCATGAACACACAGAGTAGAAGCTTTGTTGTCGAAGCTTTGTGAGGAGGAGACATTTTTTTTGGTTCGAAATAGATGGGAGGAGGAGGAGAAGATGAAAATTGGTGTGTTGAAGTTGGGTTTTGAGAGGGCTTTATATAGACAGTGGTGAGAAAATGGGAGAGATTTGAAAGGTGGCAAGTGGGTAATTGTTTTAAGTCTTAGGCTGTGAACTATGGGGGAGGTGGCAAATGGTGATGACTGGGGTGGAAGTGGATGATAGGGGCCCAAATCCTTGGAGGAAGGAACAGGGGAAGCCACAAAAAGGAATATTTGGATAGAGAAGCGTCTGAATGTTGCATAAAGGACAAGCTGGATATACATCATAGCCAGTGCAGAGTGGGGAAGGAAGGGAGAGATAGAGCAGCAACGGACAAGATCCGTCTAAGCTGGCAGCCATTTTCTCACACGGGATGCCTTTAGGCTTCAGGATGGCCGACCATATCTCAATGATTTTGCTTCCAAATCATCCAAGTTTTGGCGATGACGTTGATTGAGGAGATTAGAAGTTTGAGTCTCATGTTCTTGAACTTTATTTTAAAGGTGGCGGTGAAAAATAACCTAATTGATTAGGGTTGTCAAAGTTTAAATAATTGGACCCATCTTTCTAACGATACTTCTTTATTTGAGAAATTTAGTTAGCCATCGTGGAGTTGGGGGTATGTTTCTTATGAGTTTAAAAATTACAGGAGTAGAGGAACCTGAAAAGGCACTTCTTTTTTTAATCTCAATTGTGAAGCTTCCTCTTCTTCTTCTTCTTCTTCGACTACGTCCTCCTCCTTGAAGCTCAATCTCCAGTGCTCAACCATCACTCTCGCATTCTCTCGGTCTCTCTCTCTCTCTCTCCCCTGTGGGTTCTCATGCTACAGTTTATATGCAAAAAAGAAGAACGTAGGAACAAACAAATCAACCTAAAATTTGTTTGAAAATTCCGTATAATTGTAGGTCTTTCCTAAACAAATGAAAGGGTGTATTTATGACATGTTTCTTTTTAATGATTTCGTAAGAAGTGATTTCAGACATTGCATTAATAGATAATTTTTTATAAAAGACACAATGTCGAAACACAGCTGTGATGTCACGGGAAGGCGTGGGAGTGGGCTGGTTATGTGAGTCACGAGGAGTTGGGAGTCCGCGTTGTGGTGGCTGCCTTCCTGCTGTCAAACCCTCTCTGCCCTTTCCTTCTTTGTTCTTTTTAGTCCTTTCTTTCTCTCTTTATTTAATACTCTCTGTTACGCCATTGCTTAATGGGCTCCTCCAAATGAGCCCAACTTGGGAGATCCAAAACAATCTTTATTTGGGCTTTAATTATCACCAGTTCAGGCCCAAATCTTCATATGAAGCCCACGAAGAAATTTTATATCCACATTCGGATTTTATATCAGGAGGTGGATGGATTTACATCACAACGCATTCCACCTCTGCTGCCCGGTTGCTTTATGTTCTCGTTCGATTCCATTTCACCAACCTCGTCTCTCAACATAACATGCATCTTTTATTTCCCTTATCACAAACTGTTCTCACTCCAGTAATTTGTGCGTCCACTCTTGTACACCAACTCCAGCGACGGGTTGCACCAAAAACCACAACCCCAATAACGCCGAGCCCGACCCGAGTCGAAACCAGAGGCTTTTTCAGCAGTTCTACTCGTCTAGCATCTCTATAAAGCCCGCTGAGAAAAACCCATCAACAAGCAATCAGAAAGAAGATCTGGGTCAAGAGGATCAGAATAGGAGCGTCAAGAAAGGCAAGGGATTTTTGACAAACATGTGGTGGGCGAATCTGAAATCAGCAATAGGGCAGAGATTAAACGTAGAAGGTATGGTTTGTTCTGCATCTGTCATTACTAAGGACCGGCATTTGGCGCTCCCACATGTGGTTGTGCCTGATGTGAGGTACATTGATTGGGGTGAACTGCAGAGGAGGGGGTTCAAGGGCGTTATATTTGACAAGGACAATACAATTACCGCTCCTTACTGTTTGACGATTTGGGCACCTCTCAAATCCTCACTTGAACAGTGTAAATCTGTCTTTGGCCACAATGTAGCTGTGTTCAGCAACTCTGCTGGTAATATAGGCTTAATTCATTACCAATTTGCTTACTTTAACTGCATCAATATAAGCATTTACCTTCACTTTATCTGATGCTTTAGGGCTTTATGAGTATGATCATGACAGTTCGAAAGCCAAAGCGCTCGAGAGGTCGATCGGAATTAAAGTTATAAGGCATAGTGAGTGAAATTTATAGCTGTTGCTGAAGACTAAGATCTTGTATCTCGTTTCCCATCATTATAGCATATTAGTGGCTGAACGTTATATTAAAAAACCATCACCTTTTAGTGTATAAAAGTAGAGAATTTGGACTTTGAGGATTAGTCATCTCATTTCATTTTATGGATGACATATCGTGTTAGAAATCATTTGGTTTCAACTTCATGAACTAATGCTAGGGTCAATGCAACAGTGGATCCCACAGTATATATATATATAGGCTATTTTGTTGCTTTTAATTTAATACGTATGGAAGGTTTTTTTTCCCTTTCTGCATAGCACATATGAAGCATTACTATGTATTTTAACGTAGGGGTGAAGAAGCCTGCTGGCACAGCAGAAGAAATCGAGAAACACGTTGGTTTTACTTCTTCACAACTTATTATGGTAAGAATCAGGTGAACTGCTTGAATACTTTAGCGTTTTGGGTTATTTATAATTTAAAACTGAAAATCCATATTTTCTCAGGTTGGTGATCGACCATTCACAGATGTGGTTTTCGGGAATCGCAACGGTTTTATGACTATTTTAACTGAACCCTTGAGCCTTTCTGGGGAGACATTTGTTGTTAGGCAGGTTGGTTTTCCTTCTCTATCTTATATTGCAGTCTATGTAGGCAATTAATGGATCTTGCATTGGCTGAAAATCATACGAGGGAAAAAGTAGAAGCAAACACTATTAATTTCTTTTTAAGTTTCTTCATTGTTACTATATTATCAGACACCTCAAAGTGGCTCCAAGGAGGTCATAAGCCATGGTTGGACTGTAATAGGGGGGTTCATTGAGAGGGCTGTGGAAATATTGTACCAGCGCTAACCTACATGACTTATAGTGTAACAGCCCAAACCCACCGCTAGCAGATATTGTCTTCTTTAGGCTTTACCTTCTAGGGCTTCCTCTCAAAGTTTAAAACGCGTCTAATAGGGGATGCTTATAAGAAATGTTTAGATCCCCACTCCAACCGGTGTGGGATCTCACATGTGGTGTACATGACTTGGACTGTTTCATCCCTTTACATTAGTGTTGAGTTCGATTTTTATGAGTTTCCAGTTAACTTGAACAGCCCTAATAAACTCCTTTTCAACTCCTTTTCGAGCCACCTATGGTTTTTGATAACCAAGAACAGTAGACGTCCAAATATGACCGTCGTTCCTCTACTTCCTACGTATGCATTCATAGTACTACATGACCATTGGAGATGCTGATCCATTGTTCCCTCTATTCTGTGGTTTTTTGTGGTTGCAGGTAAGGAAATTAGAAATATTCCTGGTGAAACGTTGGCTTAAGCAAGGAGTAAGACCGATTAGTCATCGCCTATTGCCAGACACTGAACAGTGCATTAAAGATCCGTAACCTCTTTAGTGTTTTTGAAAATTTTGCCCGGTAGATATCATGAAAAACTGAAGAATCACTCTTTTTGTCCACTGGCCGTATATTACATTAGCTTATGGTTATACACCTGAGTTAAAATATAGTAGACTGTATTCTTGGATCGGCAACAATAGTGAAATGTAGAAAGGGTTTCCTTTTATGAGATCTTTATGTCTTCTGTTGGAAAGAATCATAATTATGTAAACTATGTCTGATATCTAGAGGTTTTACATCCTCTTAAGTGCATCGTCTTTGTTCTCTTACGAGCTTACATTTGCTGAACATTGGGGCGAACTTCTGATTTTGGAGAAATCTTAGTTTGCATTCCATGAGAAGGGATAGGGAGGGGATCCATTATGATTGTCTCATCTGGGTGGATTAAACTCCAATCATAACGAGTTACAACCAAGTGTATAAAGATGAGGATGTTCAATTTCGCCAGCTGGTAGCCTGCACAAGCTCTTGGCCCTCCTCCAAATGGAACATAGACATACTGGGAAACAGGTTCCTCAAATCTGCTTGGCTTGAAACTCAATGGATCTTCAAAATACTCGTCTTCGAGATGCGTTCCATACATCGTCCACAAGACCTGCACGCAACCAAAATGATTCAAGGTAAAACGATGGTCATTTCTGGACTACAATTTGACTCTGCAGGGTATCAGTAGTAAAGAAGAAGCAGAAGAATTGATGGAAATTTTCACCTTCCATCCCTTGGGAATGAAAAATCCCTCATATTCAATGTCTGTAATGGCTTTCCTGAATGAACCAAATATAGGAGGAAACAGTCGAATGCTCTCACGAGCTACCTGCCAAGTATATTTCATCTTCTTTATATCTTCCATCGTCAAATTCTGGCCTGCTCCCTTGCTTCTCACTATGTCAGCATGTTCTGTTAAGAAGTAATCAAATTTACGTCTTAATTCTGACTAAGATCAGCAAAATGATATTCTGAAAACCTCATCAGAATTGTCATATTTGGTTGAATCAAAATTTCTTTCTGATAGAAAGGAAGTTGAAATGGCGCCTAACTCATTAATTTACAAGATTAAAGAAAAAAACTATTACCCTGTAGAAGAAGTGAGTAGCAGCTTGGGTGCTGAGCCAACATTTTGAAAGTCATGGCAATGGCGAAGGAGGTTGTATCATGAGCTGCAAAAACAAGCAAAACCACATTGTCCACCACTTCCACTTCGCTGATCTCCCCTCTTATCATTGCTCTCACCATCCTTGAAAGCAACAACTCACATTCTTCTTCTTCTAGCTCTTCTTCAATTCTCCTCCTCTTCTCTCTCACCACCTCCCTTAGCATTTTCCCTATCTCCATCCTTGCTTTCTTGGCTCTCGAAAATCGTGTGCCTGGAAAACTATGTTAAGAATATGAACAAATAATTAAAATGTCGAGTTCCATTTGCTATATTTGATCTTTGGTATTTGAAAATCAAGTTTATAAACACAAATTTTATATATAAATTTCTCTATTCACATTCTACTAATACTTTCAAAAATCTGAGTCAAGTTTGAAATTAAAAAGGTAAGAAAGATACATGTCATAGGAAGGAAATTTTAAAAATGAAATCGCTATCAAACCAGCTTTAAATTTATCATAACCTATCAATCAGCCTAAACTTTTGAATCAAGGGGTATAGTTGAATAACTACCTGAACGGTAGTGCAAAAACTCCTTCCAAAACCCTCTCGAATGTCGTCAACATGCGTGGCTCCACTTTGATACCCATCAAACACTCAAACACTATGGAAAACGTCAATACTTTTGCCGAGTGGTAGAGACTAATTATGTCATGGCCAACCCATTTGGTGTCCAAATGAAGCTGAATTGTAGTGCACAATTTAGGCATCATTGCTTCGAGACTCGAACTGGCAAGGCTTGCGGCAATAAGGCCACGCACACATCGGTGGCTTTCACCTTGCTTCTGCATGATGCATTCTTCGCCCATCAGCTGAACAGAGGCCGCCGGCCATGAGCTTACCACCAACTTAAACTCATTGGACAAGAAAAATCTGTTGGCTTCAGCTCCATTTATGACCACCGTCGGCGACCCCATCAAACTTGTTTTGAAGATTTTGCCATATTTAGCCACTCGAGGCCCAACAAAGTCTTCGAACAATCTATTTTTACGTTGGGCTCTGTAGAAAGCCATGGTTTGACCAATCCAGGGCAGACCCATTTGCCCAGGCGGTACCTTTTTGCTTCCCTTTATGCTTCTAAACACAAAAATGATGGATATTATTAAGATTGCCGATAGAAACAAGAACATTGTTGCCAACAGAAAGCAGCTAAATTCTTGAACTATATACACAGATTTATGTTGTTGGGAAGAGAAGCCACATATTTAACGGAACAAGTTGAAAGTCAACGAATGAGCATTGCTGTTTGATTTATATTTAAATGAATGGATGGTCAAAATCTTGGGGTTGAAGTTGAGGAAGAAGCCTGACTTTCATAACAAATTAAGTTATCGTAAAGCTAGAATCGTGGGCTTTGCATGTGCTCACAGAGTGTATAACCTCTACATTAATACGATATGTATCCTTAGAATAAGGAACACATGCTTCAATAAAAAAAGAACTGTCATCTACAAAAAAGGGGGGAAAAGTTAATATCATGAAAGACAGACAGAAATGTAATTTCCGATATAAATGATGTGAACCATAATGGAAAAGAATTAATGAAGGACCCAAACGAAGATAGTGAAAGTTATGCATGCTCGAATGTGGCATTGGGAAATCAACTAATATCTTTCTCCTTCAGCATCTAGGTCAAGTAGTAGCAATTGGCAGAAACCCATGTTTATACGCATGGAGTTTAATTCAGAAGTTTCGTGTGAAAATATGTGTTGCGCTGTCCGGAACATCTGAATACGGCAGCGCCAGTAAGTAAGGGTAGTTGCTTCATCGGATCAGGAGGAGGTAGCATCTCTCCATGCCATCCGCATTCCCCGTGCAGACTCTAGATGTTGCATGTGTGTGACCACGTATCTAGTTTACCCTAATCAGTATACCCTAATGAGCTAATGACAGACGCGTCCCGTGTTCTTTTATTTGAATTCATATGCATTGTCTTGTTTCCATTGCTCTCGTTTTTTTTAAGGCATTTCGAATCTTATTTCTCTCCCCCGGGGAACCCATCCAAGCTTAAGCCCGAAACTTAAATCATTCTAAGACCAACACAGATCATTACTTAACGAACAACTCCTCAAATTCAAAAAATGAACAGCAAAACGTACCGGGAGAGACTGAACTCCTGGAACTTCAATCATTCTCGGAAAACTCCATACCTGTACAGTGGCGCACCTACGTACTCGCTGACAACAATTTTCCCGCCAACCATGCGTTCTGAAGACTTAATGGGCCTGGATTGGGCTCAACTCTCATCCCATCTCGCCGTGGCCTTTACTTCGGAACGCCTTCTGGGCTTTTGTTTTCTTCAGTGCCCAAATTAAGAAGCCCAATCAAACAAAATCTGAAATTTAGTTTTAATTCTTTGTTTTCTCATCTCCTTTTATAAATATTTTCAAAACGAAAATAAAAAATTCAAAAATTCATTTTTGTTTCTAAACGAAGTTATAATACTTTATAAACCTACAATAATTGCTTCATAATTCTATCTAATATATTACGATAAAATATTGAAAACGAACGGTTGAGCATTTTCAAGTCAAACTAGCATTCAAAAATCAATTTACACCTTCAACTCTGGGCAAGACTCGAGAATCCCGTTTCATACAAAATTCTACTTCGAAATTCTTTATAAATATATATATGCATGTATAAAAGATATGATGAAGATATGGGAAATTGCAACTTGGAATGGAAAGTTCCTCATTTCCTCCTAAAGAGCAAGAGCAATGGAACTGAAACTAAAATGGGAGTTAAATATACCACATATGAGGCGATGCGTTGCGATGGCCACAAGTGAAGTACAGCAGAGATGATGAAACAAAGGGAAATAGTGAGGGAAGATGCACAAAAATGAACAAATATTGAGAGACCTGTAATGTGCCAGAATTAGCTCTCTAGTTCACTCCTTATCCAATCCTGTGAACATACCAAGGCTTGAATTGTAGCTGGTTTCAGTGAACTCCATTCTCGATCAACCACCCTTCTTCCACTCCTGAATGCACAATCTGATGCAACTTTCGACATCGGAATCCCCAACACATTACGAGCCATCATCGACAAGATCGGATATCTCGGAGTGTGAACCTTCCACCAGTTCAAAACATTGAACTCAACATTACGAGGAAACAAAGGCTCCTCTAGGTACTTGTCCAGATCCGATTTACTGCCTTCACTCTGGGAGGATTCATGGAGAAACTTGTCAAAACCCATTAACCTGTCCCTTGCATCCTTCCCTGAACTACTACTACCAACTTGCCAGGCAAGACCTTGATCGATTGAAGCTAATGGCGAGCAGATCGAATGTTCGTTGTAAAGCGCCTTCACGCAGTTCACAACATCATCAATCCTCTGTACAGCAACAACGCCATAGATTTGTGGATAATAGTACTCTACAAGCTTCATTTTGAACCGAGGATCTAACATGGCAGAAACTGCTAGAGCCAACCCACATTTATCCCAATACTCTTCAAACTTGGTCCGCATCTTGAATGCCAAGGCCTTGATATAATCATCTGAATTCTTGGACCATTCCATCAGCTGCAAGTGTACGTCACATAGCTCAGGGAAAAATATATTTGAAGTAGGAAAGTTGGTCTTCGTTAAAATATTAGTGACTTCAAAGAAGAACTTCAGAAAGCCTGTAATCACACAAGTCCTGCCCCATTCTTCTTCAGTTGGGCATGCTGAGTAGCCAACGTCACTCTCCTGCAAAAGTGAAAACGCTTCTCGATATTCTACAGCTGCTCCGAGCATCGCATAAGTCGAGTTCCACTGAGATGGATTGTCCACAGACAGACCCTTTTGGCTCTGAACTTTAACTTGTTCGGCCATCTCATTGAACTTAGCTTGCACTTCTCGAGACTGTTTAATACATTGAATACTGTCACGAATTTTAGGGAGAATGTCGCATAATGCTTCCAAAGCATCTTGAGCCATCAAATTCAGAAGATCTATCGCACAGCTAACATCAAATAATTGACCATTACAATAGAGGAACCTATTTTGTGATAGTCTGTCTCTGATTCGTAATGATATATAGTCACTGTTAGAGGAACAATCAAATGTCATTGAAAATAACTTCCGGTCAATATCCCAATCCATCAGACAATTCATGATAGCATCCGAATGCAAATCTTCAGTATGAGAAGGATCAACAAACATAAAATTCAAAACCTTCTTACTTAACTGCCAGGACTCATCAATGTAGTGGGCTGTAAGACACAGGTATGACGATTCCAAATGATCTGTGGCAGTCCACATATCAGCACTGAGGCTGATTTTTCCAGGCAATTTATCCAATAACTCGTTCACTTTTTGTTTCTCTTTGACATAGATTTCCAAACAGTCACTCTCAACTCTATTGCATGATACAAGTTCAAACAAGGGATGCAGATTTTTAACAAATACTCTGAACCCAACATGCTCAACCATGCCCAATGGATAACCATGCAAGATGATCATCCGGGCAAGATCAAATCGACTTCGTCGCTGATCGAAATTGTAATTCAGGGTATTATTTGTTTCGTCTTTCACTTGCTCTGGGTCAAATCTAATATTAACAAGATTTAGAACATCATCTTTTTTCTGCCCCTGATCAACATAATTAGTGATAGCCAATGTTGCTTCCTTTTTCTTTTCCCTGGATGTAATAAATTGAGACATACCATGATTAGATCTTCTCTGACACCTAATTAAGTGATTCCTCAAATGAGAAGTCCCACTGGTACTTGATCCACTCAGTTTCTTCTTACAATGCCTACATACAGCAACAAAGGTGTCACCCTTTTTTATTCTATCAAAATCGTTCCACACAACGGATTTCAATCTGCTAGATTTTACAATAACTGCCTCCGGCACATCCATTACATCAGCCAGACTTTCCACCAAAAGCTGCACAGTAAACCCACATAATTATTCTGATAAAAAAGATTTAAAAAGAAAGACGAACACTAAATATGATCAAATTTCTTCCAATCTTGACTAATTGAAAATCAACACGTTCATAATGAAATCAAAAAGACAAAAGTAGATCCATCCAACCCCAGAATAGCTCAAACACCATAAATCCTAGAAGTAAGATGACACTTTGAAACATCAACATGAAAAACGTGATAGAACAATAATAAAAAAGGTTCCGAAAAATTAAATTTGTTCCTCCGACAATCATCTGTTCATATTATTATAAGTTTCACACTAAAAAGAGAGCGATTACAGTATTTTAGGGAGGCGCCATAGGCTCATACGTATTCTATGGTCATTCGTCGGGTCCGAAACAAGACCCAGAAAAGGTAATTGTTGCGGGCCGGCCCTTCATTGAAGTCAATTTTACAAGGAAAAACACAATACAGGCTCACCAGATCGGTAGTGGAGATTTCCCGCCGGGACCCGCAAACTATCCGACCCGAATATATCAAAAATTGACCGGGTCGTCAAGACCGATTCAAAACCTATGGATCTCGGATAGCCAAACACATAATGGATAACAACACTCCGAGTCGGACCCGGAGCAAGAGTTAGGGTTCCGCTCCATCAAATTTTAAAAGAACCAAATATTAAAGAGTAATCAATTCGAATGAGAGAAAATTGAGAAGAAGGTTTCGGAGCATACAGTGAATGGATGGCCTCGCCTGGACTGCGCAGAGGTTTCCAACGATGGAGGAGGAACGGCGGTCAGTTTGATTTTCCGGCGAGAAAATGGGAGAGTGAGGAGGAAGAGAGGGAAAAGAGGCGGTATGCACGGTAAAACATCGACGAGGGAAACGATTAATGGTGCAGCGAAGAAGAGAGAACGCGCGCAATGGAGGTCAGAGTAACGAAGCAATATTACGTAAAATTACAATTATACCCTTGCTAGTTGCAGCACAACAAATTTCTTTTTATAAATAAAAAAATTCAAAATTGTAAATTACCTTTTTAGTCTTCTAAGTTAATAAGCACCTGCCACGCACGTGGTTAATATATTTTTCATTCCATTTGAATGATAATTAATAAGCATTTGACATAAACTTACTAAATAATTAAAAAAAAAAAAAATAGTGACAAACTCTATATTCTTTTTTAAAAATTTTAGGTTAATTTATAATGAATAAATATATTTTCATTAATTTTAAATGGTAAATATTACTTGCTTTATTCTTCTTCCTTCTGCATTTCCCCCATAGATTACCCTTTGTTTAGTGGTTTCTTTCTAAGGATTCACCATTTTTCAGTTGAAATTAGCTCTTAGCTCATAAGGGTTCGTTTCAAAATAGGGTTTTTGGAAAGACCCACCTTTTACTTTCTGCATGCAGCAATCGGGTACGTACCCACTTTGTGAATTTTCATGATTAATAATGTCTTTTCTTTTTCTGGGAATTTAAGATTGTTTGTGTATAGAAGTTTTAATGATCAGTAACATTATTTCCTTATTGGTTATGCTTGCGTGGGTTGAAACAGATATGAATCGAAGATGACAATGGAGAAAGCTTCATCTCGAGATCATCAGCAATGGCTGACATACTGGGTTTTGCATCGTGTCATGGTATGAAGATGCCATTTTGTGCAAGTTTTATACGTTAAAACTTAGTGTTTTCTGAGTTTATGTCATATTTGCTTGACATACTTTTATTATATCGATAGAGACGTTGTTCTTGTTTATATATCATGGATCTCGACGATTGATATCGAATAAGATGGTAGGATTCCACTTTGGCGATATAAAGTTGGTGTTTAATTTGCCTGTGGTTATGAGAATTTTGCAATGAAGTTTGTCGGGTTTGGAAGTAGTGAAGAGGGACCCGAATACGATTTCGGGGAGGAGAAGAAAGAAAAAGAAGAGGTCGAGAATGAGTATAAGGACGAGAACGAAGATAAGAAAATCTTTCGAGCTTGAAAATTGGAAAAGATTGTCAAAGTGGTTTTATAAAGTGCATAAAATGTAAAACACAGTTCGAACTCTCTCTTTTCTTGATACTTCGCTCTCATGTGACTCGCTCCTTATTGAACAAATTTTGCTGCCAAATAAACTTAATACAATATGAAGAGACTCGAATTATATCGATCCTTAGTTACTTTTTTCTTTAGTTCTACAGTTGTGTAGGGTAAGTGTGAGATCCCACATCAGTTGGAGAGAAACAAAACATTCTTTATGAAACATGTTTTAAAAACTTTAAGGAGAAGTCCAAAAGAGAAAGCTCAAAAAGGACAATATCTGCTAGCGGTGGACTTGGGCCATTGTAGTAAGGATCGAGCTAGATATCGAGAATTATTACCTTTCACTTCAACAAGCTACCTTATATGAGTTTAACAAATGTCAACATATGTTAGCTACATTAACT